GACACAGCCCTGCCCTCAGGGAGCCCCAGTCTGAGGGGAGACACAGCCCTGCCCTCAGGGAGCCCTAGTCTGAGGGGAGACACAGTCCTGCCTCAGGGAACCTCAGTCTGAGGGGAGATACAGCCCTGCCCTCAGGGAGCCCCAGTCTGAGTTGGGGGAGACACAGCCCTGCCCTCAGGGAGCCCCAGTCTGAGTTGGGGGAGACACAGCCCTGCCCTCAGGGAGCCCCAGTGTGAGGGGGGGTCGGAGACACAACCCCTGCACTTGCGAAGAAGGATAAGACAGTAGATATGGTCCTCCCCAGACCTCCTCCCTCAGTTGGCTGGCCTGAGGTGTCAAGCCTGCTGTGCCCCCGGCCTCCCCTGCCCTCCAGCCCAGCCAAAGCTGCCTGTCTGCCCCTGCCCCCATGTGTCTCCCTCCCTGTTGCTAACCAGTGTCCATCCGAGTCCCATTCTTTCCAGCACTTTCCCCACTTGGTAAAGACCCCATCCTGGACCTGAGTTGCAGCAAAACTTATCTCCCCCTGGAGACATTGCCAGGTCCCTGCAGGGATGGAGTGGGAAGTTCTGGAAGATCATTAAGGCCACAAAAGCCAACAAGACCAGCTCTAAGGACGGTGTCTCAGGCAGCGAAAGGCTGGGAAGGGGGAGTCAGAGGCTACTGAGCCCAGGGGCTGCTCCTGACCCCCCTCAAGGTTTACAGGCCCCCTACATTCTGCCTCAGGACATTCCTGTTGCCCACAGGTCTGCCAGCTCCTGGAGCAGGAGGGTCTCTTCAGAAGTCCTTTCCCTCACTTAAATCACCGGTCCCTGCACTCCTGTCCCCACCCCACCCCCAAAGCCCGGCACTCAAATCCCACCCCCCACCCAGAGGTGCGCCCCGCTCCAGGCCTGCTGCTTAGCTCAGATGGACCCATGTGCTGGGAGGGGAGGATGAAGGCACCGGGCCTCATGTCCTAGACAAGAGGCACCTAGGGGAGCGCCTGACTCCAGAGGGAACTGGCAGCAGGAAGTGGGGGGGGGGCGTGCAGAGGCATTTCTGGAAATCCAGTGCATTTTCAGAAGCAAACAGAAGTAAAAATAAACCCAGGTGACTTTGCAGGGAGGGAGGCCTGGGAGCTCTGGTCAGCTCTGGCTGGCCAGATGCAAGTGGGTATTTATAGGGCTGTGGGTGTGGCTTCTGGGAACAGCAACCCCCCCCCAGATTTTTGTGCCCTGGGCGGGGAGCTGCAATAGATTTGAGGGGTCTGGGATCGTCAAGAGTCAGGAGCTACTGGAGGAGGGAAGGCGTGGGCTCTGGGGCCTGGAAACCTGTTTCTCCCTGACAGCCCCAGGCTGTCCTGCCCCTGCCCTGGCTCAGCAGCTGCTCCCGAGCCCTGTTGGCTGTGTCCCAGTTTCTATAGCACAGCCTCTTGCCTGCTGTGTGATCCTGAGCAAGGTGCTCGCCTTCTCTGTGTTCCAGTCTCCCCCTCCCCCCCCCATGGGAGGAGCTGGGTTGGGGGAATTCTGCCCAGTCCTCGCTGGTTTTCTCCTCCCTGAGTGCCTCCTGTGGGCGCCGCTCTGTGCTGGGCTCTCGGGTCCCTGATTTGATGACAACTGCTGTCACAGTAGGACTGTGGAGGGGGTGAGCACCTGCCTCGCACCCTTTCATCCATCCAGGAGGGTGTGGGAAGCAGCTCTTCAGAGGCCCTAGGCTTTTAGCCCAGAAAGAGGTGGGGTGGAGAGGGCTCTGCTGGGAGGGGAGCAGCGAGAGCGGAGGGGTAACCGTGTAGACAGGTATGTGTGTGCGTGTGTGCGCGTGTGTGCGTGTACACATATAAAGGTGAGAAGGAGACCAGATGTGGCTGTGGGATTAGGGCCAGGGTGGCATGAACCTGAGGACACAGACTGAGCAGGTGTAGTGCCGGGGGCCTGAGTCAGATCCAGGGTGCGCACGCACCTAGGGAAACAGGTATGGTCTTACGAGGACAGATGTGGCCCTAGGGGCAGGAGTGGGTGTGGGGGCCTAGAGAAAAGTGTGGGCCAGGGGCCGGAGGAGCCATGGGCCTGGGGGAACAGGCATTGGCTATTCGGGGGACATGTGTGTGCCTGGGGGGGTTCAGCCAAGGGCCCCCGCGAGCAGGGGTGGCCAGGGCGGGGCAGTGGCAGGGGCAGACACGGCTGGGCTGGGTTGGTGTGTGTTCCCACAGGCGTGTGCTAGAGGCCGCGCGGAAGGCCAACCAGACGGGCCACTTCTTCTGGATGGGCTCGGACAGCTGGGGCTCCAAGAGCGCACCCGTGCTGGACCTGGAGGAGGTGGCCGAGGGTGCTGTCACTATCCTCCCCAAGAGAATGTCTGTCCGAGGTAAGCCCGGCAGCCCTGGACTGCGCCCCCCCGCCTGCCCCCACTGTCTGTGTGTTCCCCAGCTGTTCCTTCTTACTGTCCCCCTACTCCATTCCTTGCCCACTCCTCATCTTCCCGCATCCTGTCTTTCCTCTTCCTTGGCCCACACCCTCTCTGTGCTGATGCTTGAGGCTGGGTGGCCTTACCAGTTACACTTGACCCAGCAGGATGCAAATCCAGATTCAGGAGCTTTCTTCTCCCTTCTCAGATATTTTCGGGTGTGGGAGGTGTGTGGCACATACAGGAAGCTTATTTATCAAGGACTTTTCCTTCATCTCCACACCCTTCCATCCCTTCTCCCATCTGGGACCGAGAGCCAAGGCCCTCGCCCTGCCTGGGGCACGTCCTCTGTCAGAAGGGCCTGGGAGCTGCCAGCAGGAGACAAGAAGAAGGTGATGTGCCAGGTTCTCCCTGCAGGCCCTGCCCGGGTCTGGCAGGCCCTCGGTGGTGTCGGGGTTGGGTCTATCCTGTCTGGCATCCCTTCCTCTTGGGGCAGAACCCACAGTCACCCTGGGTAGGACTGGTCTGCTCTGGCCGGAACCTCGCTGTGAGTGAGGCGTGAAGTTCCCATTAGTGGCCCAATTTGGCAGGGACCTCCCTGTCCTCACCACAGGGGAGGCAGGCTCCCAGGGCCTTCTCCCCTGCTCCTGCTTCATTAAATAGAGGCCAGCATTGATGTTGCTGGGAAGGCCTGCAGACATCCGTCTCTACCGAACTTTCTAAGAGACCAAGGCCTGAGCACGGGAGGCCCTTGCTCAAGGTCACAGGCAGCGTACTCCCTTTACCCGGAGGTAGAGGCCACAGAAGTTCCCATGTTACCCTTCTCAGCCTTGAGCCATAATAAACACAAAACAGTAGTGACTGTGGCTACTGGGAGACATCTCATTTAGTCTTTCCAGCGACCCCATAAGACACTTTTTTCCACATTTAGTAAATGAATACATTAAGGCTCAGAGAGATGGAGCGACATATAGTGGCTATTAAGTGGCGTACTTGTCTGACAAGTCCCTTTTCTCTCTGCGATACTAGAGAAGACTTTGAGCAGTGGTTCTCATCCAGGGGGCGATGTAACCCCCAAGGGACATCTGACAAAGTCTGGAGACATTTTTGGTTGTCACAACGAGGGAGTGATGCTGCTCGACATCCTGCCCCCCACAACACATAATGATCCAGCCCTAAGCATCAAAAACGCCAAGGCTGGGAAAGCCTGCCCTCGCCCAGTCCCTCACCAATGTCAGCATTCTCCTACAGCTCCCACAGTCACAGAGCCCCCACTTGAACCCTGCCCTAGTGTGGACCCTACTGAACTTTCAGGCCTTCTGGCCCACCCCCAGCAGCTCGGTCAATGATGCATGTTCCTGGGAACAGTCATGGATGTAGAAGGGGCACTGGGTGGGAGAGAGCAGGCACTTTTCACTCGCCAGCCTGCCCGCCTTGGGGTGAGGTTTTCTGGGCTTAGAGCAGAGGCGGTGAGTCCCCTTTGGAACATCTGGAGGAGGAAGCCATGTCTGTCATCGATGAAGAAGTTCTGGACTCGAAGACAGAAGATCCAGGCCCTCCCTGGTCTTGCTGTGTGACCTGGGTCATCCCCTACCCTCTCTTGTTTGGTCTCCTCTTCCCAACCAGAGAGCGCAGGTGCTCCCAGCCTTGGTCACCACCCCCACCAGACTCTCTGCTCTAATCTCAGGACCCCCAGGTGGCTCCTTCTCAAAGAGGCCCGATATTAGCATTTTGGTGGTTAAAAGGCCAAGCATGAAGCATCCTCACCGCACACTTCTCTTCCATAAAGGCAGCAGTTGCAATATTACACATGCTTCCCCTGGGACTTAATACAGCTCTTTTCATTTTGAATGAAATGAAATGCTCCACATTTTGTTTTTTCTGGCGGGGCCCTGGATCAGAGGCTGTGCTCTTCCCTTCCTCTCTCCCTCTGCCTGGGCCATCTCTAAACCTGGGGTGGGGGGGAGTGAAAGCGGGGAGGGCTAGGGGCAGGTGGGGAAGGCGGGGCGCGAGGCCCTGACGTCCTGGTTCCCTGCCAGGCTTCGACCGCTACTTCTCCAGCCGCACGCTGGACAACAACCGGCGCAACATCTGGTTTGCCGAGTTCTGGGAGGACAACTTCCATTGCAAGCTGAGCCGCCACGCGCTCAAGAAGGGCAGTCACGTCAAGAAGTGCACCAGTGAGCACGCGCGGGGCGGGGCCAGGGTGGGCCCTGGGTCGGGGGTGGGCCTACCACCGGAGCGGGGGCGGGGAGAGGGGCTGGCGCCTGGGGGCGGTGCTGGGGGACCCACGGGGCGGGGTCTGAGGGAGTGGGGGGCGGGGCCTTTCGGACCGGAGGCCTCCGGGGTGGGAGGGCTTAGAATCCTAGAAACCGCGTGCTCTCAGCCATCCGTGATGCTGCTGGGGGGAAAGCAGTTCTGTCCGGCTTGCAGCCACCTTGGGGTTCATCTGAATGTCCCTAGGATGAGGCCACAGAACTGACCCCAGCTGCCCCGTGTGGGAGTCCAGATGCTCACTGGTCTGAGCATTCTGCAGAAACCATCTCTAACCCCCTCACGGTTCCCTCGGTCATTCAACAAACACCAGTTTGACTCCCAGGGTGTGCCCGGCCCTGTTCTAAGCACTGTGGATATAGCACTGAACGAAAGAGTCAAAAATCTCTTGGAATTTTTATCCTAATAGGAAAACGTTTAAACAAGATAAATAAGTGAACTATATAGAATATGTCAGAAAGAAAATGTGCAGTAGAAACAACTAAAACAAAAAGATGGCTTTCCTGTAAAGGTAACATTTGAGCAGAGTCCTGAAAAGGATAGGGAATGGGCCACAGGAGGATGGGACAATGGGTCCATTCTACAAATTGGAAAACAGAGGCTCAGGTAGGTAAAGGGACCTGAGTTCCCATAGATGGAAAATGGTGGAGCCCGATTTGAACCCAGGTGGATCTGAGCTCTAGGCCCTAAGTCCCCTAGGGTAGCCATCATGGTGTGTCCACATTTGGACACATTCAGATGTGGGTCTCTCTGTACTCTTGGTCTGGGCAGCTCTGCAGCAGAACCTTGCCTCAGTGACTTTGAGGGAGCTCTGGGTGTCTTCAACATGAGTGGTACCTGTGGGAGGATGGTGAACTCCCTCTTGTATCCTCCTGGACTGATCGGTGTAGCTTGGGCAGAGGGCCAGCTGAGCAAGGGGCCACTGGCCTGGGTGCAGGGACATGCTGCATGGAATCTTAGGCGGTGGGGAGATCCCCCCAGGGCCAGGGGAGGAGGAAGCTGGATGAGGTTGGTGGGCATGTGGGGAGGATGCTGCCCTCTGGTGGCCAGGGCCCTCTGGGAATCAGAAGTATTGGCCATTTAGGAGCGTGGGTATCCCCCCTCCCCTCTCCATCCCTGGGGCCCAGCAGGCATGCTCACGTGTGGGTTGTACGTGGTAGTGTGTGTGCACACATGGGTGTGTGTGACTGTGTGTACATAAGTCAGTATGTCTAAGAGAAGGGGTATGTGTGCGTTTGTCTGACGTAGGGGCTTATGTTTCTGGCTGAGCCAATAACCCCAAATACCACGGCTTGTTGTGCATCTACTGTGTTCCAGATGCTTTAAAGGCATTATCTCATTTCGCTCTTACAACAGGTCTAGGGGCTTTTGTGATCCCCTTATTATAGAGGAGGATATGGAGAGTCAGAGAGGCCAAGCTGCTTGCCGAAGCCTGCACAGCAAATGCCTTCATCAGGCAGTAATCACAGCGGAGGTTTAAGAAGTGCAAACGTGACAGCACAGGAGACTGAGCGTTCGTGGGTAGGGTGACCGTACAGCTTGGTGACTCCTTTTCTCCTGGCCGAATTTTAGAAAAATCCCATTTATTACTATTTTTTAAAGATTTATTTATTTATTTTAGAGAGAGAGAGAGCACAAGCAGGAGGGACAGAGGGAGAGGGAGTAAGAGTCTCAAGCGGATTCCATGCTGAGATGGAGCCTGATGCGAGGCTCGATCTCCTGACCCTGAGATCATGACCTGCGCCAAAACCAAGAGTTGGATGCTTAACCATTGGCGCCACCCAGGTGCCCCTAAAAACATCCCTTTTATTCTTAAAAGTGCCTAAATGGGGTAGAAAATTGTATAGTCACCCTGATTATAGGTCACCAGACCTGGCTTGAAGATGGGGTTGGGGGACACTGGAACTGGGGTCAGGATGGGTAACTGGGGTCTCCCGTATCCCGCCTGCCAAGGGCGAGGGGCTTTCTGGAGTGACTTCTTGGTCTGGGAGGGGCAGGAGTGGGGAGGGCCTTGGTCAGCCCCTGTAGGCTCTACCCAGACTCCCAGTCCGCAGGACAGGATTCGCAAATGTCTCCCGCCTGGCTGGTGAAATGGGGAAAGGGGCACCCCTCCGCAGCCCTAAGGGAGGATGTTTGGGCTCTCAGAGCCGGCAGAGGAAGGAGGGCGAGAGCACAATTCAGAAGAGCGTAGAGCTTCACGGCGAGCCTAAGGCAAACTCTCTGACCTCTCTGGGCCTTTGCTTTCTTATCTGAGGAATGGGATTGATGGTGAGCCAGCCCAGAGGGTGTCTTGGGATGGAAATGAGAAAGTATGGAGGTACTTTGTGAACTGGAGAATGGGGCCTCTCAGGCCTGGCGGTGCATTGGAATCACCGGGCAGCTTTGAAAACTACAGTAGCCCTCACCCCCAGACTCGTTCAGTCAGAACCTCAGGGGTGGGTTCTGGGCTATAGATTTTGTGAAAACTCCCTGGATGATTATGTGTATTTAGGGCTGGGAAGTCCCCAAGCCTGGTTTGCTGTGAATGTCCTGGGGATTTTTTTAAAGCTACTGATGCCTGACCCCCAGACCTTGTCAGTGAATTGGTCCTGGGTGCAACCTGGGCATCGGGATTTTTTTCAAAGTGCCCCAGGGGGTTCTACTGTGCAGCAAAGTATGGGGGCCTCTGGGTGGGAGGGAGAGGCAGTGATGGGAGGGAGGATGGCATGCACCCCAGGCAGGAGGGAAGGCGTAAGCAGAGGAGCAGAAACTGGAATGAGGAGGGATATGCATCACAGGGAGGGGTGGAAGGACAGCACCTTACAGCTGCATCTGAAGCCCCAGCAGGGGTGGTAAGGGTCCTGGTGTGACCCCAAGTCAGGTGCGGCGAGCCCGTCCATCTCGGAGTAATGTGAGGAGCAGGGCTCCTGCTGGGAATGTTTGTGGGACGTGAAGACCACCCTGGGTGAGGGCGAGGCAGCTCTGGCTTCCCATGGCCTTGCCCAGGTTTGAGCTGAGCCGCTCCCTTGGGAGAATGTCTTAGGCCAGGAGGGCTGGGGTGATGCCCACGGAGGGCTGGCTCTGCACTGGGCACCTGGTAGGGGGCAGGGGAAGGACTCGCCCCTGGTCTGGATCTGACTCTGTGTCCTCCCTGCTGTGTGACCTTGGATGGGTCATTTAACCTCTCTGAGTCTCAGAGAAGACAGGAAAGTCACCGCCCATGTCAGTGGGTTGTCTCGAGGACTGGAGATGAAGGTATGAAGAGGCTGGCTGAAAGATGGCATGCATGATCGGTGCTGGTAAAATGGTTGTTGATATGGAAAGGGCGTGGGAGCGATGGGATTTCCAAGTCTGTTGGGACCAGTGCTATGTGTCAGCTGTAGGATCTCAGGTGAGGGAGGGCAGTTGGTATAGGCTGTCGCAGGTGCAGCACCCATTCTACAGAAGAGGCTACTGAGGCCATTTGAGAACATCACAGCCTAGAGAATTGGCAGAACTGGCTTTCTACCCAGGCAGCCTGGCTCTAGAGCTGGTGCCCTGCCCAGTCTCTCGGGTTTCCTGCCCTCCCCCTCCTCCAGCCCCCCTCTCTCTTGCCCCCAGCCAGCCCAGGCACGCTCTGTGTTCTCCTCCGACCCCTGCTCTGTCTCCAGAGCCTGGCTTCCCACTCACTTCTTCCAGGATGCCTGCCTCTCCACCCTGGGGGCCTTGTATTGGCCCACTCTGGTCCCCTTGACGCCAACAGACTCCATGGTTGGCCTCTGCCTGTTTCAGTCCCACAGGCTGCTCCTGGAGGGCGCTAATTCCTCAGCACCTCCAGCCTGCCTGCCAAGGGCTGGGCAGAGCACTGCGGTGACCCGAGGAAGTCTCAGAAGAGCCGCAGAGGCCGGTGGTTGGAGATTGGGCTGGTGTGTCTCCAAGTGGTAAGAGGGAGAGGGTATCACACGTTCTTTCTCAACCATACAGCCAGGAGGGTCCGGCAGACCTGTGTGACCTCGGCAGGGCATCATACCTCTTGAGGCCTCAGTTTCCTCTTCTGTAAAATGGGAATCGTATTACCCACGCCTATCCCCCCAGAGCCCCACTCCCAGCAGAGCTACCTTGCTCACCTTTTCCCAGAGAAGGGGGGTCGGAGGTGATCTGCAGGAAGCACCTGCAGATTGCCCAGGGACCGCCCCACACCTGAGCCAGGGAGGGGTCACTGAGTGGGGGGTGGTCTTTGCAGCTGTCAAGGCCCAGGGGAGGGCAGCACCTGCCTCCGTCTCTGTCTCCCTGGGAGCACGCGGAGAGGGTTTGGGAATTAAAGCCGTAAACGAGGCAGATGTGGCATCCATCTTTTTGACAACACAGCCAGCCAGGTGATGGCTGAGCGGAGGAAGGCCCGGTTTATGAGGTAACAGGAGAAATTTACTGCCTGCTCTTCCCAGGGGCTGGGAGTTCTGACAGGGAGGGGGGCTGCATGGCAGCTGGGGATGTGTAGCAGACTCCTGTCACCTGCCCGCGCTAGCAGCCACGACGCCACCACCAGTAATAATAACAGCTAATAGTTATATTGGATTTATCGCTTGTCAAGCCCTGTTCTAGTGTTTGGCATTGAACCTTCACAGCAACCTATTTTACAGATGGGGAAACTGAGGTACAGAGGGGCTGAAGACTTGCCCAAGGTCATAAGATCATAAGTAACAGAGCTGGGATTTGAACCTGGGCAGTCTGGCTCCAGAAATGTCCTGCCTCAGAGCAGCTGATAATCTTAGCCCCAGGGCCCTCCTGGCTATTCCAGCCTGGCTTTGAAGGATCTGCCGATCTACACATTCCCAAAGGGACCTGAGAAAGCTTCCTTCCTGGGGAAAGGCAGGGGGACCAACATTTGAAATTGCCTGTTATCTCTGGTGGGTGCCAGGCTGTGCCGCCTGTTAGAGGAACTCACCTT